ATATCTCCTAAACAATGCGTTTGCAGACATGCCTTCAGAGGAAATTTATTTCTTGTTTTGAAGTCCTTAGTTCATTTTTGCAATTTGGCCACTTAACGCTGAAACACCCTGTATATGATATTTCTAGGAACATTGGTTTTTTAATTTACCAATTGTAAGAGTTGTATATTTACGGGAAGAACCGAATTTTTGTGGAGTTTAGGTTAGGAGAACTTTCGAATCTGCCAACGAGTTAAATCATGGAACAGACCTCAGTAAGTGTAAGTATAAAGAAATTACAAATTTTATTATTATTATTATTTCAACGTCAACGTTTTTAATTAGAAAGCAATAAAATTCCTTGGAAAGGTACTATTTCGCTGGTACCACCCACCGCGCCGACTGCCAACTGTTAAGCACTTCTTAACAGCTCACTTTTCTATTCAGCTTCTCTAGCTGAATAGAAAAGTTACTATTTCGTCTAAAAATAGCTATTAACTAATGGCGCTTTTGTTTTTCTTTTTTTTTTTTACCCTTGCTCGCCTTTTCAGCTATATATGTTTCTTCACGAGCCAAGGGAGAGGGCGGGGGATTAATGCCAGAGCTAACAGAAGTAGGTGAAGCTTCGATTATATTTATCTGGCATTCGCCATCCACACACACCTATCTGTAAGAATTACGATTATATTTGTATTTAATTATGTTAATAAAAAACTCCTATTAACATTATCTCTACGTTTTATTCCCTCTTAAAATAACTATTCCTCTTTAAAATAAAATCGATTTTTCACTTTCCAACAGCTTAAATTATTCAAAGTTTTCATTTTTTTTTTTTCCAATTCAGGTCTTGCGAAGTTTCAAGGCGTTTGAAATATTGGACATTGCCCAAAAAAGTACCCGTGCAGTCCTATTAAATCTATATCGTATTAGTGTAGAATAAACAAATAGTCATTCAATAGTACGTAGGTATTAAACCTAGCATTGCTGAAATGTTATCGATGCATCTGTAAAGCTTCCTGAATTTCTTAGTTCTTCAAAAATCGTTGTAATATTTATCTTCGCACTTCTGCAATCATACTTGTAATACTAATAATACGATTACTGGATTTTTTTTTCTAGTTGCTAGTCCCATCAAACGCTCTATTTTTTTTTTTTTTTTTTTTTTTTGTCAAATATTTTCTATTGGACTGATGAGAACGCCAAACAAAGTTGACCAGCCTTGCGATTTTATTGCAGTTTTTTCTTTTTGTTGATAAAATAAAGAAACTTCGGTATTGTGCATGGAAGTTCTTATGGTATAAGATTTATTGAATGTAATTTAGACAGTTCTGACACGAAATTAAGGTAGCAATTACTTGACTCAGCGTGACGAGCGTTTTGGACATGGAGTCGAGAGATGAAAGTACACCAACTGCTTTACGAAATCTCCGACCATTAGAACTTCATACTTGATAATTCCACATAATAATTCCAAATAATTTGAAATGATTTTTGGAAGCCTTCCTCCTTATACAAAAAAAAATAATAATAAATAATAAAATGAACGACTCACTTTGAGTCGTAACCCACTTTTTGACTTTTATCATTCTTAGTTTATAAAAAAGACTAAAGGAATGGGGTAGCTAGGTTAATTGGCATCCGAAGTCCATTTAAATGTAATTACAGGAACAATAATACTTTAACAGCTAATTTCCTAATATTTTTTTCATAAAACATGGTTATATTTTACCATTTTGGGGAAGGAGAGGCTTCAACTCGAAAGCCTCCCTTCCTCCCACCTATAGGTCCATACCATAGATCTGTACAGCCCACAAACCTGTGTATTCCTTCTCATAAGACACTTTATTTTGAAGAAAAAAAAATCTGTATAATGGGGCCTACCTTGTTTTGGAATTCCCACACCCACCTCCATATGAAAAACCTCATCATTGATTCATTTAAAAACCAATTGTTTCTCCATCTCCTCAGCCACCAGTATTTCGAATATTTATAAGAATTAAATATGTTACCAATTTGATACTACTGTTAATTCAAAACTATTATTTTATATTGCTTACCATGCAAATACGTAAACACTCAAACATCCATTTACCTATAATTCCATCATATATGTATATTTAGAATAGCACTTTATTTTAATTTTAATATTACTAAAATTGATAACCGAATTATTATTTGTCAGTCATTATGTGCCAAACAAATCTATATTATAATGTAATTATCATTGTGATTGTTTGCAGGGGATTAAATGTTCCAGAATAAAATTTACGTTCTTCATCTTCTTATTAAACACGGCCTTGGTAGTAAACATGATACACGTTATAAAATAAAACTGACTAGTGAAAAGAGATTTTTTTTTTTAAACTCCAATAATTAATAAATTGGAAGAAAAGCAACAGTAAAAAGAAAAGTTTAAAGACCTGTTTGGAGCTATTTAGGAGACAGGTTTCACTATCTCATGGGGCTCTAGCTCTAGCTGGGACAATTAGAGCAATTTCTAATCTCGGCGTAATTGACCGTGCGTCCATCCTCGACGTAGCAGTTCTCGTCACGTAAGAGAAAACCCAGGTTAGCTCCCCGGATCTGGTCCAAAATTTACGGCGATGTCGAGAAAAAGTTTTTGATTGAGAGATAATGTAGCGCGTGTCTCATAGCGTGCCTCCCTTCAGGAATTTTCTACTACTTCTCATGCTCCTATTTTAGAGGTTCCTCTGCCACTGAAAGTGGGCGCCTTGGCCTTTCAATCTCCAAAAATAAATAATAATAAACGTTGTAAAATGTAATCCCGCATACTCCTAGAATGGAGAGAGCACGATAAATGAAAAAATAAAACTTCAGACCACGCTATAGAAGTGCAAACTTCAACAAGGAGATATTAATAATATGATATATAAATTATAAATAAGAGCTCATTATATAGAGGATGAAATGTTAAACATTTCCCTCGATTGCAGTATTAGTTAGTCTTTTTTCTCTTGTTTTGAAACTTTTCAATCCAAAAATATATAACCCCATCGAAATGTGACCCCCTCAAAAATTTTGATGGCGCAACTTGCTGATTATATACATTATATCTTTTTACTTTGTAAAACTTATTACATATTTCATTTGTCTATTCGTGTATCATCCTATTTTTTGGTTTATTATTTTCAATAATGAAACATTGTGATCGACCAAAAAATTCAAAAACATAACCCCCTCTCAAAATTTGAGGTTTCACGTTTCAAGATGCGTAGAATTCGAAAAACGAATAAAAATTTTTTTGTCCGTCCGCCGTCCGCGCATTTTCTCCGAAACTACTGGACCGATTTTTTTCAAATTTTGATATAAAATCAGAGGTCACCCGAGGATGATCCTCCTTCATCGACATTACTCTCCGCCTTTAACTTTCAAAATGGCGGCCGAAAAACCTGCGTTGCTATAGACTGTAGCTCCTAAACGAATGTACAGATTTCAATGAAACTTCGCTAAAGTCATTTTCTCGACGCCCTTTAAATTTATCTATATAACATACTTCAACGAAAAGAAGCTGGAAAAAAAGTTACGAGGGATGTTAAAATTAAATTCCGAATGACTCGAAAAGTTTTTACTTTTTTGTTGTTATTGTATTATGGTTTTTTAAAAGTTTAGGAAATTTCCTAAAAAAAAAAAAATCGTTAAAATCGGACAATTAGGAGCAAAGATATGGTCTCTGTTTTGTTTTTATGTGTTTTTCTCCAAATGTTATATCCTTGGTTTGGTTTTTAAATTTCAAATGTGTTACTGAAATAATGCTATTTTTTTTTTTTAGCATATTTCTAATGATTAAAGAAAAACAGTTTAGTCCAATAATTGGAATCACCTTTTGGTTTTTTTTCTTTGTGACTCGGAAAGTAATGTTACTTTAGATGTATAATTGTTTGGAGATAATAAACCATTGTGAAATCATTTGCAGCGTTTTTCAATTATTAACCATTATCTATCTTATAATATTGTATCTCTGACTGTATTAAAAAAATTTCAACCCTGATGATGACCCACAAGCTTGGATTGAAACGTTGGTACAAATAAAAAACGCTGCAAATTATTTCACAATGGTTTACTATTTCCAAACAATTATACATCTAAAGTAACATTACGTTAATAGTTACAACGAAAAATAAATAAAAGGCGATTCTAATTATTGGACTAAACTATTTTTTTATCATTAGTAATATGCTAAAAAAAAAATCATTACTTCAATAACACATTGAAAATTCAAAAACAAAACAAAGGATACAACCTTTGCAGTAGAACATATAAAAAACAACTAGAGACCATATCTTTGCTCCTAACTGTCCGATTTTAACGAATTTTTTTTTTTTTTTAGAAAATTCCGTAAAATTTTAATAAACCATCGATAAAGGAGGATCATTCGCAGGTTTTTCGGCCGCCATTTTGAAAGTAAAAAGCGGATAGTAATTTGAAAACAAATCGGTCCAGTAGTTTCGGAGAAAATGGGTGGACGGCGGACGGACAAAAAAATTTCTATTCGTTTTTCGAATTCTACATATCCTGAAACGTAAAACCTCAGATTTTGAGAGGGGATTAAGTTTTTGAATTTTTTGGTCGATCATAACGGTTCATTATTGAAAATATTCACAATGTCTGCGTCCTGATTATTTATCACCCATGATATGTAGAACAGTCGACTAACTTCCTTCAATAATTGAAACAAAAATCCTTACAAATATACAAAACATATAAACAACTAAGTTTTAAATATTCAATATGATATTTGTTCGTTTTAATAATTATGTTGAATTTTTACACATAATAAAACATCCCGCCATTTTTTTTTATTTTTTTTTTAGTGGTTCGCCTCCACCTCTCCCTGAACAAAATCGAAAGTATGCCCCTATGATGAACACAGAAGACAATATTGAGCTTCCGTGACCCCAAACAGTCTGGCCAACCTAATTCTTTTTTCCCATGGATGAAGCACCTCCTATCGCCCCCTCCCCCTTTCCAGCCAGTTAAGTATTTTTTTCGCTCGGAATGTGTTACGGCCTAAAGTAAGTATCCTGCGGGACATATGAGGTGTCAGCTTTTAAGAAGACTTTCTCCCCGACTTCCGCCAGATCCTTATAGCCGCAGGTTCCCTTAGGTCCGACCCTATTCTTGCGGGTTTCTCTTTTCCTCTTCTCTAACGGAAGGCTGGGGAAAGGACTTTGTCGTAAATTGTTGATCAATTGGCTCCTGCAAATCATCGAAGAGCGGCCCGCTTTCTAAGTCGGCACTGAGCCGTGATCTTTGAGAACTATCCAACAAAAGATGAGTGGGTTACTGCGTTACTGGCGTTCTTATGTAAATTAAACTGATAATCTATTTAAGGTTTGTTGCTATGAGATAGGAGTATCGAGTGAATCCGCTCAATAATTTTAAAATCCGAAAGACTTTACGGCCTACTTCGAACTGAAAAAATTGTGTTAAAAGAAAATAATAACAAAAGAGATAATAAATTTATAAAGAATATTAATACGTTTAAGTTAAGAAATTGGGAAATTAGTCCGCGGAACATACTCATTTTTATTAAATTACTAGTAGGTCCTTGCGAAAAATTCGCACTGCATGTTGTTATCAAATGATAAATTAATAAGAAAAGAAAATAATGCAAGGTATCAAAAGCTATAAAAATCAGTTGTTACTTTATCGATAAATATAATCGACAAAGGAAACAAAAATTAATTTCAATCTTCAATATTGTTTGGAACCAACATGTTTACAAATTTCAATAAGCTGTATCTTTTCTAAAAATTGTCCGATTTCTTGCTGTACGCATCAAAATCTTCAAGGTCCAATTTGACCTGCTTTGAACTACAGACCTACCATAATTCCAGTATTGAAGCCAAGCAAAATGTATGTATCGACTTTATTTATTTTAGAAAGAAAAACCAAAGTGAAATTCTGAATCCAACGGTACCCCATTCATGGTATTATAGCATAACAGGAGCTTATATTTGGTACAAAACCGATTTCGAGCCTTATTGTAATAATATATATGGAGATAGAGATGGAGATTAACATCTAAAACTTCGTGAATAACTTTATCTTATCTTATTATCATAACCTACTTTATTATTTACGAACATTCTCTGAAATAGAGCGTTTTCAATCTGGAGATTGGTAAAATTAGTCTATTTAATGGGGCACTAAAAACCGATAAATATCCTAAAATAATTTGATCACGAAATAGAGAAAAAAGGTGACCTACGAAAATATTGGGCTGTTTGGCTTGACTACCACCCCCCAAAACTTCATTTTGTAAACAAATTATGTAACCATTTAAGTGAAAAGCAAGTGTTTTTAGTACCTCATTAAATTAATTTAATTATTTTATAATAATATTAATAATTAATTATTGTTGAAGAGAATTTGGTTCGGCATTGTCGTATGGAAGTACACAAAAATAAATTATATTTATTTTATTTTTATTTCTGTTTTTAAGTTTCAGGCCTTCATCATGGTTGATCATTCAAATAATTAATAAATTATTATTCTTAATTATTAATAATAATTAATTTAATCATACTATATTATTGACACAATGTTGTGTATGAATATTAGAAAAGTCTGCCAAATAGGATCAGAATATATGCTTATAATTATTTCATTAGGTGAGGGATGTTTTCCAATTATTTTTGTTTTATATTTGTAAATTTAAATGTTATATAATAATTTGTAATGATGTTTTGTAATTGAATATTTGTATAGTAAATATATATATATTTATTTGTTTATTATGAATAAAAAATATAGTGATGTGAGGTGTAATAGGTGTTGCTCATTTGATTCCATATCTTATTGAAGGGACACGTGCATATATTATTTATTGTGCTCATAATATAACAATAGTAATGCTTGTAAATAATTTTGGATTGAAAAATGTATGTAAATACTGTGAAACAGATACTGACCATTTGTACTCTGATCGCCAATTCTGAACAAAATTGGGCAAGCCCTTATGGAAATATAAGTGTACCATCATTCTAGTGATAATACGGTAGTGATCGGTCCAATATTACTGGTAAAGGGAGAATGGCAAATAAAACTGTTTAGTAGAGTGGTAATCTATTAAAAAGAGTGTTGGTCTATTAAAAAAACTAGAATTCTAAAATAAAATTCAGGATATTTCCTATTTATACTTATAAAATTAATCAATTATAATTCTATTATATCTAAGCATTAAATTCCCCCATTATTAAATTAATAGTGGTATAATTTTCATAAGCTGGTGAGGTTTTGAGTTATATAAAAAAAATTTTTAAATGGTACTTACCTTTCTTCCAGATTATGATTGTAATAATTTATCACAAAAATAATTACTGATAAAATTGCATAAATTTTCATAAAAAGTGGCCAAATCATTCTGAAGTGGTGTTAAACCCTACTCCATATATTTCAAAAAAAAAGTTTAAACAAAAAACTCTTTATATTTAGCAATCTGCAAACTTCTTTGCAATGAGCAAATTTTTTGGCACCTTCACAGCTTCCCATCACGTCCGGGATATAAATCAGATCAGGAGGTCTCTTGGCCAACGCCATGTAATCGCCGTAGTGGGCTGTACGGGTTTCTTGTACGATGAAGGCTTTTTGTCAGGGGATTCATGTTGTACGTCAGTCTTGGGTGAAAGTTATTGTATTTCTCTTTAGCAGTATCTAAAATTGTGGGTACGTTTAAGTCTTTATGTAGTGTATCATTTGTGACATAAAACGGTGCGTCAATTATCCTTCGCAACACTTTTGACTGGAAGGACTGATTTTTTTTAATTTTGGAAGTTTTAGCAGAATCCCACAGTTCTATGCCGTAAGTCCAAATAGGTTTAAGTAAAACTTTATAAAGGGTTAGTTTGTTAGTTAAAGATAATTTGGAACGTCTGTCAAGTAATCTGGATAAAAGACTGTTTAATTCTAATCGTTTTTGTCTGATGTGAGTCCTTCAAGTAAGTCTTTTGTCCAGGTAAAAACCTAAATATCTAATTACGTCAGATGTTGGGATTTTAATGCTATTAAAATATATTTCAGGTGAAGGTTTATGGTTAAGAGTGAGTACTACATGCACACTTTTCTTTCGTTCATCTTAATTTTCCACCTTGTGGCCCCATCTACAATATCGTTCAGATGATTTTGAAGAGTGGTAGATGCTCTAACTTTTTATCTGAGCTTAGGATTGCGGTGTCATCTGCAAAAGTAGCCAGTATTGTGTCATTGTGTTCCGGTAGGTCAGACATATATATATTAAACAATATTGGTCCAAGGACACTACCCTGAGGTACTCCTGCTTTAATAGGTTTGATGTCAGACCGCTCTGTCCCTACTTTTACTACAAAATGTCTATCCGTTAGATATGAAAGTAATATTAGATAGTAGATAGAAGGAAGTAAAATTTTAAGTTTGGAAAGCAATCCTTCATGCCAAACTTTATCAAAGGCTTCACTAATGTCAAGAAATACTCCAGGACAATAATATTTGGATTCTGAAGAATTAGAAATATAATCTACCAATCGATGACATTGTTGAACAGTTGAATGATGCAGATTGCAAATTTAATCTAAAGTTCTACATTTTTGTTAATAAATAAATACAAAAATATATATATTTAGCAATAATTAAATATGAATACTATAGTGACATTAAAACTCCACAAGTTGGATTGTTCAATAAAATGACCAATAGATAGAATAAAAAAATCTAAGGAGTGCCCTTTAGATCACACAATAGAAGTGAAAACAAAAACAAGGTGAGGATAATAATATGAAATATAAATTATAAATAATAGCTCATTATAAAGAGGATGACATGCTGAACCTTTCCCTTGCTTACAACATGCAGGTCCAATTTATAGTTTCTGAGATATTTTAATCCATATCTTAAATAAAACTTGTTATCATTTGGTTTCTGGCACTATTTTTTCCTTTTCCCCTCTATAAAACGGTGTCGTGTTAAAGACACAATTTTGAATAATAGCTCATCACAAAGAGGATGGAATGATGAACATTTCTCTTGCTTACAATATGCAATTCCGATTTTTATTTTTTGAGATATTTTAATCCCTATCTTTTACAAAACTCGTTATCATTTGGTTTTTGTCACTATTTTTTCCTTTTCGCCTCTATAACACGGCGTCGTGTTAAAGATACAATTTTGAATAATAGCTAATTACAAAGAGGATGGAATGATGAACATTTCTCTTGCTTACAATATGCAATTCTGATTTCTAGTTTTTGAGATATTTTAATCTATATCAAAAAACACTTCAATTAGTTAACTCCAGCCGACTTTGCTCGAGTAAAAATATAATATTTGTATAACATTGGATATATTTAGTAAAAAATTAAGTTTATATTCAATCTAAAGCAGGAGTTTCCAAACTACAGCTTGCGAAAGTTTATTTAATTACTTGGTAAAATTTTAAAAACTATTAAAAAAATATCAAATTTAGCAAATTACTCACACAATAGGTAGCTACAACATTTGTTATATCATTTTTGTTATTTTAGGAAGCTCATTTCACAACTAAAGTGTCATTTACAGAACAATTTTGTTTTTCATCATAAACCTTGGTCCGCAGGACTTGGAGGTCTCAATGCAGCCCGTGGGGCTTAGTGCAGGTCTCAATATGGCCCGGAAAACAAAAAGTTTGGAGACCGCTGATCTAAAATAAGCAACAAACTGAGGGGCAAATTAATAAGCCTAAAAACAATACAAGTAACTTTATTGACATGTTTTATTGATAGATTCATGATGACTTTGTTAAAAATAATTTCATAACTGAAACATATTGCATATTTGTTGGAATGGTAAGATATTTCAAATTACAAGTCATAACCGGGAAATGCGGAATTCTCTGGATCCAGAATATCAGTAAGAAAGTATGAAATTCCAGCTATACCTAAAAAAAAAATATATAAAATAAGAAATTTTCTTTGGTAATAAAAAAGATTAAAAACCTTAATTATTTGTACATACATTAATTAGCCAACCGATACCTGTAAGGAGGTATTTTTAGACAATTTAATTACATTTACATTATAAGGAGATAATAAAATAGATTAAATTTAAACTTGCTTGATTCTTTGACTTTAACAATTTTACATTAATAAAGAACAATATACAGTAATTAGAACAATAAGAGAAGATCAGAATAGGTTTGTCAGGCAGGTTTTAATTTGTATATTAGTTGTTTTACAGATAAGGTAGTGAGATATTGCGCAAGTTTCATCATCATCATCATGAATGGCTCTACAACTCCTGCAGAGTCAAGGCCTCCCGCAATTCGAACCGCCAGTCCTCTCCAATTAATGCTGTTGCCTTCCAGTTGTGGACACCAAGGATACTTCGAGCGTCGGCTTTCACTCCACCAGCCCATCTGAGTGTCGGTCTGCCTACCCGCCTTGTGGTGAAGATCCGCTCATCCATCAACTTCCTCAGCATAGGTTGTTTAGACATACGGAGAATGTGTTCCGCCCATCTCAACCTGCCAATTTTCATTAGCCTCACAACATCGGTTTCTTTATATAGCTGCATCAGCTCATCGTTGGATCGCATTTGTCGCTCCTGATTAATATTTATTATTTGGCTGAATATTCTCCTTAGCACACAACGTTCAAACCGAAGAAGAGCTGTTTCTTGGGCTCTTGACATTGCCCAGCACTCCGACCCATATGTTAGTACTGGTCTGATCAGGGTTTTGTACAAGAGCAGCTTGGTTTTACGAGAGATCACTCTACTTTTGAGATGTCCCTGGAGACCAAAATAAGCTCTATTTGTGGCCATGATGCACCTCTATATTTCAGGATTCATATCGTTATTTACATTAACTTCCGAGACATCTTCAAATGTTATCCCTCCGATTTCTACATTTGCCTCTCTGTAGCCTCCACCCTTTGGGTCGGCCCATATAAACTTTGTTTTCTTCTCATTGACCTTTAAGCCAATTCTCGCTGCCGCTCCTTGTAGCGTTAAGAAAGCATCTTGTATAGCTGTCCCTGTTCTTCCAACCAATGCAATGTCATCGGCAAACCCTAGTAATTGCACTGAATAATTAAAGACCGTTCCACCAATCTGAATTTGGGATCTTCTAATGGCACATCCGAGGGCAATGTTAAATAGAAGACATACCAAGCAATCTCCTTGGCGCAGTCCCTTCTGCATTTCAAAGTAGTCCGACATATCGCCTTGGATTCTGACTGTGAATTGCACCTTCTTCATTGTCACTTGTATCAGTCGCATAAGTTTAGGTGGGACACAGGCCCAACATATCGTGGTAGAGCTCATCTCTTAGGATGCTATCATAAACTCTCTCAAAGTCTATGAAGAGGTAGTGTGTGCACACATTAAACTCTCTTGTCCTTTCTAGGATTGTTCTAATAGCGAATATCTGGTCGACCATAGATCTTTCTCGCATGAATTGAACCTGATATATTCCTACTTATCTCTGAGCAAATGGAATTAGCTTCTGAAAGAGGATTCTTGAGTGAATTTTATATGCACATGATACCAGAGATATTCCACGATAGTTGTGACAATCCAAGATATCCCTTTCTTATGGATCGGGCAGATGATTGTCTTGTACCAATCATCTGGTAATACTTCTTCCGCCCATATTTCCACTATAACATTATGCAAAAATCTTGCAAGTTCTTCCCCTCCATATTTAAACAGTTCCGAGGGTATCCCATCCATCCCAGGAGCTTTATTGTTTTTCAGGAATTCTATGGCGTCTTCCACATCTTCCATGTCGGGAGGCTCCAGATCGCCAATCGGTAATTCCTGCCTTTCCACTCAACAGCAGGGGATATTGTCATTTAAGAGCCTTTGAGCATTTTCATTGCTCCATTATTTGTTCTTATCAGTGACTAAGTTCCCCTCTGTGTCCTTGCAAGCACTGGTCCGGGGTTTGAAAGTTCTTCGGCTCTGGTTGATACGGTTGTAGAATTTCCTGATTTCATTTTGGCCCCTTATGTTCTCTATCTCTTCCAGTTGTTTCCTTTCCCAGGTCCTTTTCTTCCTCTGAAAGAGTCTTTTCTCTTCCCTTCTTCGGGCTCGGTATTCTTGTACAGAAGTTCTAGTGTGTCTTCGTTGGACCATCTGCCGATAAGCTTTATTCTTAGTAGTAGTGATCCTCTGACACTCCTCATCATACCATCCTGCTTTCCGTGTAACTTCTTGACATCCAATTGTTTCATTTGCGACTTCCATTATTGCCTCCTTGCAATTACTCCGTTGTTGGTTTAAGTCTCTAGATTCACTGAGGGTTCTTATCTTATGATTCATATGCCTAGAGAAGCTTTTTCTCTTCTCAAAATCTTTGAACACTTCCACGTTAAACCTGGCTTGTTGCGTTCTTTGCTAGACTCGCACCATTGAAATTCGCGCTCTGAACCGTGCGATTGTAAGGTAGTGATCAGAGTCGATATTTGCCCCTCTGTAAACTCTGATATTCTGTAGACTTGAAATGGGTCTAGAGGACATCAATAAATGGTCTATTTGGTTGCAAGTGACACCGTCGTTAGACCGCCAAGTTGCCAGATGAATCCTTTTATGGGGAAACCTCGTGCTTCCCACAACCAAATATTTTGAGGCTGCAAAGTTTATGGTTCTCTGACCATTTTTATTTGTGACATTATGAATGCCGTGTAGACCTGTTGTGGGTCTGTATTGAGGTTCTTTTCCTATTTGGGCATTGAAGTCTCCAATCACAATCTTGACATCAGCTCTCGGACAACTATCAATGCTTCTTTCAAGATCTTGGTAAAAACGATCCTTTTCATCTTCTTCCGTTGGCTCCGTCGGTGCATGGATGCTCATAATGCTGAAATTATAGAATTTATCTCTCATTCGGAGGTAGCATATTCGGAAAGAAATAGCATTAAATCCAATAACGAGCTGAGCCAGCTTCTTATTGATGATGAATCCATATCCATAGGTATGCAGATGATCATGACAGCTGTAATAAATAGTATGATTTTCCTTGTTAAATATTCACTGTCCTGTCCACCTTATTTCTTGGATCGCAGCTATGTCTATTTTATATCGGTCCACTTGTGTTAGGAGCTGATCTAGAGCCCCAGGTCGGTATAGTGATAGAGTGTTCCATGTTCCAAGTTTAAAATCCATTAGATGGGTGCCGTGTCGTTGCCTCTGTGTGGGCTTCACAATAATTAAATTAAATTGCGCATGTTTGATCCCTTAAAAAAATAGTTGTGTAATGTGGCATTTTTTATTCTGATATTCATATTCATAAGTTTTTAATGTGTTTACTTAAATTAAATAAATTTTACAATTCAAATATTAATTGGTCTGACTGATTAGCAGTAAAGTTTTGTACTATACCTTCGTAAAGCGAATATGGCCGATCTGGTGCCATTCCTTGGTATTTGGGATACTGTGTGCACCAATCAGCAAAGCATGCAGCTCTATATAGGTATTTTGGTTTCTGTAAAAAATAAATACATAAATATAACAATATTTATAGACATAAACAAATCTTTCTTATAAAAGAAAGGGTAAAAATTACTTATTTAAGCAATTTCTCCGACTACCCTATTCTTCATAGTCTAATATTTTGTTTATTGTTTTATCACTTTAAAAACTCGAATGAATTGGTGATTGATGTTATATTATCTTGAAGTACACCTCATATTTTTGGACATACTTCAATTATACATTTTAATAATTGAATTACAACAAAGTTTTCATAAAAAAGATAATTTTGTTTTAATTGATATTATTTTATTCCTATTTTGATTTAAATTTAATCTAATAAAGTGCTGAAAAATGCCTTGAATTTTTAATTTCACAGCCTTGAGATCTTAAAATTATGCTTGATTTTTTTTTTCTTTTCAAAGCACTGGACACTATGTTTACAGAAATGATATGTTTTTTTTTTTATTTCTCATCAATATTTTTATAAATATATCATCATATTTTCTTTATTTTGTTTCTTTCATTTCTATTAATTTACCATTATGAATATTATTTTAATATTTTTGAAGAACAGATGTAACCTTCATTTGTTGTTAAAATTTATTGTTTCATTAAATAATTAATGTTATTGGATCCATTGTAGAATCAACTGATGGTCTGGCAGCTGAAACGTCATGAAAATGAAAACAATTTAAGTGGTGAAGTAACTTTTCCACTGTAAAAATCTCAAAAGTCCCTTCACCTTCAGCTAACATGTACAACTTTTTTTTTACTTTCATTTACCTATATATATATAATGCATAGAAAGGGTAAGTATTGGAATTGTAAAAATTTTCAAATCTGAGTTTTCAATGGAAATACAGGTTTTGAGGTATCCTGGGTATAAATAACCAAGTCCCACAAAATGGTGTGTGTGTGTGTATATCTGTATGTGACCGGTCTAGCTCAAAAACGAAATGTCTTGTGAAAGTGAAATTTGATATTTAAGGTTTTTATATACCTGAGATGTTAAAGCAACTTTTTCGTCAAAAGTCGGTTAACCGGAAGTGGCACTTTATATAATCGATTTACTACATTTTTTACAATTTTCTCAAAAACCACTCTTGATTAACGATTTTGATTGAACTCAGTATATCAGTGTATTATTAAGCAGTTTTTAATATAATGTAGGTTTTATCCTCACTGATGTTCTCTAACAGGGCTTAAAGGATAATTTTCAATATTAGCTTCTAAGTACCTTTAATTTTTTTTTTTTTTTCATTACACATTTGAGATAATGAACCATTTCACATTAATCTTTGATATGTAAAATAGTTAAATATAAAATAATGATGTAGAGTTGGTTGACCGTTGATATGATATGAGAAGGAATTAGTCGAGGGTGCGGTCAAAAAATAAAAAAAAAATTAAAATATATAAATAATTTTAATTTTTGCCGACGTTTCGACCCACTTTGCAGGTCGTCTTCAGGGCTACAAAAGATACAAACATGTTGAAAAAATAAAAATAAAATAAAAAATAAATATAAGTATATATAAATTACGAAGAAGTTGTCAGATACAGAAATAAAAGATAAAGAAAATAAATACATGATAAGAAAATAGATAAAAGAAAATAAATACATGAATGTTAACGAATAAATGAATGTTAACGAATAAATTGATTGAAAATTGAATAACTATTGTTACAGTAAAGTTAAAATATGGATAAGATAACATAATAATAAGATATCAGTGGATAACAAGCAAGTGGAGGTTACCTTTAATTGTAAATAAACAGATAACGGGACCAAAGGTTAAGAAGTGAAGAAATTGAAAGATTAATAGGGTAACATTAGTGTAATATTGTTGGGATAGATTATTAAGTATAAATAACTCTATAAGAAAACAATAATTTTAAAAGAATACTTTAAAATGTAAGAATAAATGTAAAAACAAGGTTATGATGATAAAGAAACAAAAAACAGGTTGTACTATATATAGATGACAATTGACATTTAGTTTTTTGAAAGCGGTAATGGAATGGTAGGCTGTATGAAGATAGGGATGTTAAGAAAGGAATCTCAATAAAAGTCAAAACATACCGTTGGATGTGGCACTGCGGGAGGCGGTTGAAACACTGGCAGTGTCAAAAACTCTAGTTAGCAGTGTCAAAAAAAAAAAAAAGTTCTAGTAAAAATAAACGTATACATACATACACATATATACACATACAAACACACACACACACACACACACACACACACACACACACATATATATATATATATAAGTTATGGTTAGAGGTAAGACAATATAACAGTTAATCCTAAGTTAATCCTATCTATGAAGTGTAAACAAAGTGTAATACTATATATATGGCATTACTAAGGCAATAAAGTCAGTATTCTTTGAGTAACCACGTGCTTCATTTCGGATCCTTTTTCCCTTTTTTTTATTATTTCTTGTTCGAACTGACGTAAGTGGTGCCGAAACCCGGGACCTTTAGATTCAGTCGAGGAAGTAGTTTTTTTTTTCTCTTTCTTTTCGTTTTCGTTATTAACGTCACAAGAAATAAAAAAGAGGAAGGATGCCGAACGGAATAGGGCAACCACCAGCATCCACCGCTCAACAGGTAGCACAGCAGGTAGCACAGGCGACACCGCCGACGGCACCACCAGCAGCACCGTTGGCTCCACCGCCGGCGTTCCCTCCGCTGTCAGAGGCGTTAGCGAGGGATTTTCCTCCACTACCTACGGAAACGTTGGCATCAACACATGCAACTACGTTAGAGTGGTTGAAGGTGAGAACGGCGACGTCGCAGGATCTTAGGAGAGCGATATCCGATTTGGAAAGATTCGATGGAGGAGTAGGTGAGTTGAATCACTTCCTAAAAGGTGGCGATCGGGTGATATCGCGTATATTGGCTAAGGCGGAGGAAAACCTGATAGACCCGATGGACGCCAATGCATTAAGGGCAGCCCTGGTATGCCGGGTTAAGAGGAGCGTACTGAATATGATTCAGGCGGATGAGGACACTCCATGGAATGTTGTGAAGGATCGGCTGAAGAAGGCGTTTGGAGGAGGTCGATGGGCGCCCGAGGAGGACATCCTGCAGATGTTCCGGGAAAGGAAACAGCCTCATCAGACCAACGGGCAATATGCTGCAAATCTGCTGGCACGATTTAACCGCGTAACAGAGAAGACGAGGGAAGTGGCTGATGCGGTGGAAACGGGAGCCAGGATGGCATTTTTGTCAACCATCCTGAAAGTTCAGTTAGGGAGAGACACTGGAAAGAAGGATGGACTACCGAGGGACAAGAGCTTTGTGGAGTGTGCTCAGGACATGATAGATGCAAGTGCTCGGGAGGAAGAAGCAGCCCGTGGGGATGAAGGGAACGAGTATGGATGGAACAGGGTTTCGTATAGGAGGGCGGAAACCGGGAGGTTCAAAGCAAGACAGGAGGAGGGGAAGAAAAGAGGAGGAGATGTTGGTACAAGAGAAAGACCGGCAATGAGAGAAAGAAAGCCAGGCAAAGAAAGGAAGAAATGGACAAAGGAAGACAGGAGATGTCACGGGTGCGGAAAGATAGGCCACCTAGTGGCGAATTGCCCGCGAACCAGGTGTTTTGAATGCGGAACCGAGGGACACATCGCCAGACAATGCCCGTATATGAGTAGACGGGGGGATGTGGGCCGGGATGAACCAATGGAAGTGAACGCCCAGAGATTGTGGAGAAAGAGAGGAGCAGTATCGGAGTCAGATGAGTCCTCAGGGACATCGGGAACCGAGGAAGAGGTGACAGAGATAAGAAGAGCTCGAGGAGGAAGAAGTAGTAGGAGAAGTGGAGAAGGAGGAGCCGTTGCGGACAGGAGAGGAAGATCAGACGAATGAGGAGAGGAGCAGAGGAGAGGCAGCCACGCGGTAGTCAATAATATTGGAGGTGAGTGCGTTGGTTTGCCAATTATAAGTGTTGTGGGGAGGGGGAAGTGTTTGGTAGATACGGGGAGCTCTAGCACAATATTATGTAGAAAGATGCTGGAGGAATTGTGTGAAGGAGAGAGGATACCAGAAATAAAAAATTGTAAGTGTAAGTTGATTACTTTGGGTGGTCCTTGTAGAGTCGAGGGGGAGGTAGAATTAGATCTGGATCGATGGGTGGCCGGAATCGGGAAATTGAGGGTTCATGTGGTGGAGAATATGCCGAGAGAGTACGGAGGCATAATAGGGTGTGACTTATTAAGTAAGGTAAGGCCGAGGATAGATTACAGGAGTACAGGTTGGGTTGTTCGAATGGGAGGGAAGAAGTATCGGTGTAAGCGATTGAGGGTGGACGAAACAAGGAATGTCGGGGCAATAGAACAAGCGGAACATTGGGTACAGAGGATAAAGAGGGAGTACGCGGATATTTTTTTTAAAGACGGGGAAGTGTTGACCGCGACAGGGAAAACGGTCCATGAAATTCCTTTAAAACAGGAGAAAGTGACATACGTTAAGGAACGACGTTATCCGCAAGCGCTACGGAGACACATCAAGGATGAGATAGAGAGCTTGAAGAAGCAAGGCATAATTGTGGATAGCACGTCACCGTACAACAGTCCCCTATGGGCAGTGAAGAAGAAGACCACGACAGGGGAGGAGAAGTATAGGGTAGTGGTAGACTTCAGGAAGCTCAACGACAATACCTTGGATGAGAAATACCCGCTCCCACGATTTGAGGACATCATTGACAGACTGAGCGGAGCCACAATCTTCAGCACTCTCGATCTAAAGGCGGGGTATCACCAGATACGTATGCATCCCAGGGATCAACATAAGACAGCTTTTTCATTCGAAAGGGGACATTACGAGTTTACTCGCATGCCGTTCGGGTTGAAAAACGCTCCTATAACCTTCCAGAGGTTTATGGACGAATTTTTGAGAGGACTGGATGAAGCATTCTGCCAGGTATATATGGATGATCTCCTGGTCTTCAGTAAGAATGAAACGGAACATATTGATCATTTGCGCCGCGTATTTGACAGAGTGAAG